TCTCAATTTTTTAAGTGGGAGCTTATGGTCTAAATATGTTACACTAATTGGACTCCTACTTCAATCATTACCATATAGCATACTTTCAACTCACTTTAGGGCTTAGAGATTTGTAAGTGACATTAAAACAATCCTAGAGCACCTAGCATTCTATTATTAGAACCAACAGATAAAATAGAGCTAAATGCTCACTATCCCTATTATACATAAAACCCCTAATTCTAACTCTAACATGATTTGAAAATACCTTTTGAAAGTTTTTTCAAAATTGGGTCTTTAGCATTACTTGGCTTTAACTACTCATTGAATGAGCAACAAACTGTTAACTATATCTCCAATTGATTCTTAAAATCTTTCTCCCAATCCCTCTCTCTAGGATCATGGCAATATATATTTATAAGTTAAGGTGTTCTATGAGTTTGAGTTTGGCTTTGGTTCAAGTGTTTTATGCTTGTGATTTCTTAGAGGATATGCAAGATAAGCTTAAATAAATAAATAAAACATAAGACAAACTTATAAATGAGACAAAAGATTAACTAATGAACATCATTTTTATTAAGAATATAAAGTTGGTGATAAATTTTTCTTTAAGTTGTTTGTTTGGCACTAACTCATCACCGCCTTCTCCTCTTCTATTTCCACTTTTACTCTTACTTTTACTTTTGCTCTTGCTCCTACTCTTACTTCCACTCCTATTCCTACTTCTACTTCTTACTTTTACTCTTGCTCTCACTCCTACTCTTACTCATGCTTTTACTCCTTGGTTGCAACTGTGAGAGAGAGAGGGAATATTTTAAATGGTTGTATAAAAACTGTAAGGGTGAAATATCAAGGGTCCTATGTTAAATGTACAATAGTCTCTAAAAGGAGGTAGTAGTGTTAATTTGTGTCCATAGTGTTGTGGGTATTAAACAATTTTATATCATGTGGGAGATGTTACTTACACTTTAGACTTGCTAATTAGTTCAAAGATTCATTTAATGTTCCATATGAAAAAGTGTAAACATGTTTGCACTCTTGTGATATCATAGATAAATTAATCATCCAAATCCTAGAGATTGATGTTAAGAATGTTAGTCTAGCCAATATATATACTTAAACATTAGTGAAGAGATATTGTAAAACAATTTAGAAATTGTTGATTCAATGGAATGGTTATTACATGGATGAGGCTATAATAGGAAAATAAGGATGATATGGAAAGAGTTTGGAATGACATTTTTGAGGGATGGGAAATTGACATGATTTAAATTGTATCCTCATTCTTTTATTTCTATAACTATATTGTCATGCAAAAAAGCCATATTGCTTTCTTATTTTCATGGCTGTTTATCACAACATTATTGTTGCCATTTACATATGGTTGTATTGCTTTAGACTCTCTTCACAATGCTGCTTGTTCATATACAAGACCACAGAAATATTCCAAGAATATTCTATGATATTTATCCTATGGTTGGGAGGCCTATTCTCTTCTGCTCCAGATGTGCACCATTGGCTGCACAAATTGCTGGACTTCTTTTCATGGAAAAATAGGGTGTTGACCATGAATTGCCTTGCATGCACCCAATCTAAATGAATCTTGGGCCATGCTGCACCTCAACCTATCACTAGAAACAAACAGCAAGAAAAATAGTGCTAAGAGAACTCATGGAAAGGAGATTGCCACCATAGCCAAGACCCCAATTCAACTAAGAACTTGAATTCCACTCACATGACGCCCAAATCCAACTCCAGATCCCCCAGAGATGAAGAAGAAAAACAAAGAAAAACACTAGATTATAGTCACATGTCGGGTTCACCACTTGTTAAGGGTGTCACCCCAACCTTCATGCTCTAGGAACCACTCATCGCTTTAGCTCTCAAAGGGGAGAAAGGAGTGGAACCTTGATATTTTATACATGGAGATAGAATATTCCACAGATGGAATATTGGCTCTGATAACACCCGTTTTGAAAGAGCTATTTTAGTGATAGTATTCACCAAATACCATTGCTTCCCTGTGTTAGTGATTTTTTTCATATCACTCCATCTCAATGTTAGTGATATCTCTTCCATCCATAAGTTTGAATTTCTGAGATCCGTTAGAATGAAACCTTCACACATATCATCAGATATACCTAGAAAGACAAAGTGGGAGCATAAAGGTCAACCCCTCGTTTTCAAGCTAAGTTGACTTCACCATTTGTTTACTAGATCATTTTCTTTTATCGTAACTTTGAGTTGCTTGCAATCTTAGATTGCTCTAGAGTGATCAACAAAAGCTAAAGATTTCTGTGCTATAACGAAAGCATTTCTCATATGAAACTCGCTCTAACACTTAACACTTAACCTTGCCTTTCATTGTCACCTTGCCTAAGCTAAGTTGACTCTCACCATTAATTTACTAGATTAGGAGCAGTTGCGGTCCAGACTCCAGAGTGATTAGTGAAAGCGATGTGAGTGCCAATGCTAACTATCTTTCTTGGAATATTTATAAACCGAGTCCATGAGACTCGAGAGAGCGTTTTATGTGTGACCGTGTTTGCTTCTATTCCCTTCCACTACAGTACAAATACGGCATTTACATGCAAGATTCCATACACAAATGACTTACACGCTAACAGGCACAAAAATGTCAGCCATGCCTTGTGTGCTTGGGATACGGCATTTATGAAAAGAGCGTGTTCGTAAAGGCGAAAGACAGCAGATGCCCTTGTGGGGTATTCCGAGATGCGAACTCGGGACCTCTTGCTATTTGAAACAAGAATCATATCACTAGACCATTTCCTCTTATTGTTTAAACCACACTAATTCAAGCGTCCTTACTAACAAACTTTTGTGCCAACGTGTGTACCATTGCGGAAAATATTCTCTGGGCTGATATTCACTCCAGGGTACACGGATTATCTTAAGATGATAATAAGTCGTCTTGCCTCCATGTGTTGGGTGTTGAGGTATATGCCACAGAATATGAGTCCTCCAAGCAATAAGCCAGGAGTAGCAGCTTTGCACAGCGCTGTTTCGTCGTCGCGTTATAAGTTGGGAGATAGCAAATATCTGTGATCCCTGTTCTTCCTATTAAGTTCTTAGTGGTGTCTCATCCTCCACTCCATATCCTCGAATCCAATGTTTTAATCGAAGAAACTTTGGTCCGGAGCTGGGGAATTATCCAAGATCATGAAGACAACGAGCGAAAGAAGGTAGCAATGTTTTAGTCATCTCATTCATTCATTCCACTTCCCTTTAATTCGAATCGTTCTTCATTCACTCGGCCATTCGCTCGCTCGCTCGCCTTCCTGGAGTCTTTTCATTCACATTCATATCATTGATTCCATCCATGCTTTGGTAGCTCGAGAGTAAATGTAGCAAAAGCGCGAGCGAGAGAGAGCGAGGTGAGCGTAGCTTTCTTCGTTCCCAGAAAAACAAAAGAGAAATCAGGGTGCTCGCCTTTATGGAGTTGTTCTTTTTGTTTGGTCCAACGTAGAAGCAAAGAGCTCCAGACACAAAGCTCCGTGTTCTTGGTTGGGTTTTGTTCTCTCATCCCTCGAAAGGCGACAATTCCTTGATCTATTCTAAGATGGGCTTCCTGGTTCTTCGCATTCCCGTCTAGATCGAAGGATAGATACTTCTTTCTCAAAGGGCAAAGCAGCACAGCACAATGCCAGCCCCTTGGAAGAGCTGGACCAAATCTCTGTCGTGCAAGAGCAACAGGGACGAGCAAGTTCACAGCCCAATCTCGATCTCGGCGGTCTCATCGTCCTCCACCTCCAAGATCAAGCCCTTCCGCAGCACTTGCTCCAGATCTCTTTCCAATCTCAAGGACGTGATCCACGGCAACACCAAGGTCGTCCACAAATCCGCCTCCTGCAGCCCCGCGGCGATCTCCTCCCACACCAACGCCAAGAACGATCCCCTCCTCGACGCCAAATCGCTCTTTTGGAACCCGCCCTCCTCGGAGCTCGTCTCTGCGGCAAATGCCGGGCTGCGGCATTCACAGTCTACCGAGGGATCACGCCCACCAAATCTCAAACACCCAAGTCCAGCGCTTCCAAAGAACACGATGAGCTCCTCCCGGAGATTTGGAGGCGGGTGCCACGGTTGCAACGTGGCGGACGAGGCGTTTGGCGCGATCATATCGCGAGATCCATCGTCGCGCTCGTCGCTGTGCCGCTACCCCTACCCCTCCTGCCAGAGATGCGGCGAGAGCTTCGCCAAGTTTGAGGCGCTCGAGCACCACCACGCCACGAAGCACGCCGGTACGTATTAGAGACGTATGTCATACGTAGCAAAGTTTCTATGCTCACGGGTTTCTCGATCCTCGCCATGGCCGCAGTGACGGAGCTAGGCCGCGGGGACTCGTCCAAGAACATCGTGGAGATCATCTTCCGGACGAGCTGGCTCAAGAAGAGGGACGAAGGAATCCCGGAAGCATCGCCCAAGATCGAGCGCGTCCTCAAGGTGAACAACACCCATCGCACCATCTCGCGATTCGAGGAGTACCGCGACGCTGTCAAATCCCGGGCGAGCTCGCTGCCCAAGAAACACGCACGGTGGATCGCGGATGGGAACGAGCTCCTGCGATTCCACGCCGCCACATTGGAATGCAGCCTGGGCGCGCACGGATCCTCGTCGATCTGCGCCTCCCCGGCTTGCAGCGCGTGCCGGATCATCAAATCGGGCTTCCGGGGGAGCGGCGGTGGAGGATTGATGATCCACACCACCGCCACCAGCGGCAGAGCTCACGATTCGCTCCAAACAAAGGAGCGATTGGATCGATTGGATCTATCAGACGAGGATGATCTCCACGCGATGCTCGTGTGCCGAGTGATCGCGGGGAGGATGCACAAGGGATTTGGCGGCGACGCGGTGGTCCCGAGTGGGTTCGACTCCATCGCCGGAGAGATGGGGCCGTTCTCGAATGTGGACGACCTGTACGTGACGAGCTCCAGGGCCGTGCTCCCGTGCTTCGTCGTTGTCTATCGCTGGAAGTAGCGATACTAGCCTAGTGGTGACACACCAAAACCTTTGTACATACCACTCAAAAACCCTGAAACGCTTTTGTCGCTAGAGGCGCATAATCTGGAGTATATTCTCGTATCCAACCCCAATGGCGTCTACGGTGGGGAGAACGATTCAATGCAGAGGTACCATTGTCGCTATTGCCTCGCTTTGGGTGTGATCTTCTTCCTTCTCTCCAGCTGCTGTTCTTCACAGCGCTGGATCGGAGATTGAGCTGGAGACGATCAATGTGGACCCGCCAAAATCTGGAGAGATTCGCATGCAAGTCCTTTACTCGTCGCTGTGTCACACGGACATCGCCACCGCAGACTGGGTAAGTTTGTGCTCAAACTCTTCCAATCTCTTTGCTCCGTGCTAATCCTTTTGTTTCGCAGGGCACGCTCTATCCGGTGATCCTTGGACACGAGGGATCTGGGTAAAGAGTGAATTTTTCTTTTTCCATTTCCATCTTTTGTCCTGATCTGAGGAGTCTGTTTCTTACTCTTGTTTTTTTTTTTCTGTGATCTTCTCAATCCAACCAGAGTTGTGGAGAGCGTTGGCGAGGGAGTGACGGAGTTTGCTCCCGGTGACCATGTCATTTGCGTCTACCAAGGGGAATGCGGGAAATGCAAGCTTTGCAAGCTCTCCACCACGAACCACTGCGAGGTCAGCTTCGGGAACTTGCTCACGTCTTTCATGCCTCTCGATGGCACGGCACGGTTCTCTTCGCTTGACGGCAGTGCCATTCACCACTTCATGAACACGTCCACCTTCACGGAGTTCACGGTGCTGGACAAGACCTCGGTTGTCAAAGTTGATCCAGTTCCACTGGAGAGCGCTTGTCTTCTGGGCTGTGGAGTTCCCACCGGTACGTTCCTCCTTGCTTGCGCATTCCTTTGCTGATAAGCTCTTTGTTTCCAGGCTTGGGATCCGCATTAAACTTAGCAAACGTCGAAGCCGGCTCCACGGTTGCTGTAATTGGACTGGGAACCATCGGGCTAGCAGTACGTACTCTATAGCTTTTCCTAAAGTTCTGGAAGAGAAACCATTTGCTTTTCAGGCTGTCGAGGGCGCCCGAATCGCCGGTGCAACTCGGATAATTGGGATCGATATCTTACCTCGAAAATTCGAAGCTGGTAAGACCGGTGCTTTACCGAAAGTGCTGAGCGTTTTTTCCGCAGCCAGAGCATTTGGTGCGACCGAGTGTCTAAATCCACAGGACCACGAAGCGCCGCTTCATGAGGTTGTGTGTTCTAACTCTCGTCTTTATCACCCGAGCTCTAATGTTTCTCTCACTCTCTCTCAGGTGCTTCTCGAGCTCACGAATGGAGGAGTCGACTACTGCTTTGAATGCGTCGGCAAGCCTCATCTGTTGGTACAAGCTTTGCTTAGCACCACAAGCGTGAGTGAAAAGCTCTGCTAGTTTCCAGCAGTGTGCTTGCTAACTGGATTGTTTAGTATGGAACAACGGTCATGGTTGGAGCTCCCAGGCCTGATGAGATGGTGACATTCCCACCCGCGATTCTCCTCTCGGGTCGCCAACTCAAGTCGGGATACTTTGGTGGATTCAGGGGCAAATCCGACATGCAGAAGCTCGTGGATATGTGCTCCACAAAGGTTTGTTTGGATTGATCAAGCTGGAAGAATTCTAAGTTTTCGTGGATCGTCCAGGAAATCAATCTTGACGGATACATCACTCACAGGCTACCATTCTCAGAAGTAAACGAAGGAGTGAAGCTTCTCTCGTCCGGTTCTTGCATCAAGTGTGTGTTCTCCATGGACGGTTGATCTGGTCGCACGTTGCTAGTGGCGCGCCACGTATTTCCACGTTGGCAGACCGATAATTGTAAAACCCTGGGTGCAATGGCGCTCGCCTGCGATCGGGTTTCCATCAATCCAGCTCGTGCAGAATCGATCACAGGAGGTGCCAAACTTTCAGCATATGAACCGGCATTCTGATGCTCATGGCGGTTTATTCTCTGGATTGCCTTCTAGATCGTCATATCTGGTGTGCCACTTTGTACGCTCTTGTTTCTCTATCTTTTCTAAAAGGATAATCTGGGAGTCCCTCGATCCAAATCTCAGGCTGTATCACACCTTGTCTGCCCACGCCACAAGATACACTCTTCACATCCGACTTAGCAAGGAGCATGACAGAGCAAAAAGGGACAAGATTATTGCAAAGAGAAGCTATGGAACAAAGAGAGGCCAAGAACTCCCAGCCCACTGAAACCAAGAAGAGCTAGGAAGACCAAGAGCAAGGTAAAGTCTACAACTTTTAAAGAGCTGTTGTTCTACTAGTTTCGCAGGAGAGTCGTTGTCTCGCTGGCTCTTTTAATTGGTGGTATCATTTTTCGTTCTTCCTATGTAACCGTGAGCGTGGAGATGGAGGGAGTGAGAAGACCTCCACAACAAACTTGCAAACTTGTCTGCAGTCTCATGCTTCTTGTTGGGCACCGCAAGACTGCCAAAACAGAATATAGATGGATAGATACCTCTCATCTTCTTTTGCTTGTATGCGTATGTGCAGATTCTGAAAGTACAAGTTCCATTTCTGTTCAAGCATGCAGTGGATGCTGCAACGGGAGTGTCACAAGAAGCGACTCTGGCTTCTATGGCTTATGCTTCTCCAGTCTCTGTGCTTATCGGTTATGGTCTTCCTCAAGCAGGAGCATCCACATGTAATGGTAAGTATTCATTCATTCATTCATTAACTGTTTATAGGGTCTTGCAGTGCCCACCAAGACTGACGGATTATAGTAAGCTATTTTGATGATCTCATGAGCCATTCGTTTCACCGATCTGCCTGTTGCCCCTCCTGATGCCTCTTGGGTTGAAACCTCAGCACAATCTTCACATAGCTGTCAGCATTTGCAGTGAGAAGTGTTGTCACCCTTGTTTCACTTCCAACTCAACTGCAGTATGATCACAAGCAGGTGTCAATGATTAAGGATTGGCACTTGATCTCCATTTCTCATAGAAATTCAATGTTTGCCTATAAGAATTACATGTAGATCTGACCTGTGGTTAGCATAGTGGAGCATAGGTTGAGCACATGTTGACCACATGCTCCATGTCTTTAACTTCTTCATAACATATGGGGCAGAGGTGGATATCACGTGGCAACATCAGTCTCAAATGACGTCCAAGTTCTATTATCAATCTGTGACACCTTGTTCTGTAGCTGACCAGGATTCTCCGATTGCAAGGGGTGAGGTAATTGTAAATTGTGAAACCGAATTAGTGCTTTGGGTTGATGGTGTTCACATAAATTCCAAAAAAGACACTATCCTTCATCCAAACGTCATACCAACATTGAGGAAATTGCCAGGTCCGAAACTCCAATTGTTCAAACAATTCTGTCATCAAAGTGGAGAGGTCATGACTGAGGGTAGCTGTCCATACCTCAAGAGTGTGCCACCAACCTTTTCCAAGAGCTTGGGCCATGTGTTGTGATTTAGTGATTGTCACATTTCCAAGTTTCTGCCTGTAGAGAAAGTATGCACTTTGCACATACATCAACATCTCCAAGCAAGAATCTCCATTAGGAGTAAGCCTGTCTCCAGAACCATGGCCTTGTATACCTTAAATTCTGCTGAGATGAAACACTTATTGATTGGCTCAAGGTTGTCCCACACAGTCTTGTTTAGTCCTGGACCTTTCTGCTCCATACAAGGCCATTGCTGTTACTTTTGTCATGTAATCAGTGTGTTTGACACCCCACCTATATACGTTGGCTTTATGGCAATCTGATTGGAGGAGTGCACTAGCCCGCTCCTCTACTCCAGTTTTCCATGGGAGGGTGTATCCTAGGTACTTATATTTTTCCGTGTGCTCATTCCATTTCCATTTGTAGTGGAATTTGCTTGCTGTGTCTGGGATCGTCTTCATCTTACTCATGTTGACAGTAAGGCCCATAGAGTCACAGAATTGTGCCAAGACGTCTAGTTGGTGTTGAAGTTCCAGCCACAAGGGGGCCAATAGAAAGAGGTCTTCTGCATATATGAGCAGCTGCAGAATCATCCCAGCAAGCACGATCAAGGAGGCAGTGCACCCTCCCATGAGCGTTTCCAGCCCATCAATGAATAGGCCAAAAAGAGAGGGGGCAACTTTGTTGGACTGTCACAGTCAATTTGAGTATGCTGTAGAATGTCCGCTTTCACGTTTTTGTAGAGCCTCTGAATGAGCTTGATGAGCTCCGGTGGGACATTTAGCTCATGAAGTCATGTGAATAGTCTCCTTCTTGATACCTTGTCAAAGGCTTTACTATGTCGACGTAGCATGGATAAACTGAGGTCTGCGGATGTGCACTCAGTTTGTCTAGGGCTACTTGCAGCATCACCAAGTGGTTGATGCAACTATAATGTGGGTGGAGCCCTGCCTGCCCTCTTGCTCTGCATTGTTTGTCTTCCGTCCAGCTCACGAGATGCTGCTTCACCACTTTGGCCAGAAGCTTCGCAAAGATTGTTGAGATCATTACAGTACTATAGTTGGAGGGTAGTGCTGGATCTCCCGCCTTATAAATTGGTACAACTCTATTGATGTTCCAAGTCTGTGGAAAACCATGTTGGAAGATTTCGTGGAAAAGTTGGTAGAGGATGGGGGCCAATCAGTTGGGGTCAAGAGCTTGCAATAGCTTGGCTGTGAATTCATAGACATCAGCAGCCTTCTTGCGTGGGAGAGACTGGATCGCTGCATTCATCTGCTCTGTGGTGACTTGGAGCGTCCCTTCCCACTGGAAATGTTCAAACTCTGAGCTTCCTACCTCATACAGGTGGCGAATATGTTGAACGTAGAGAATGATGTCCTCGATGATCACTGGTAGGCGGTGCTTACAGAAAATATGGTAAGCTTTGGAAAGTTTACGCCTCACCTGTGCATTAAAACATTTAGTGTGGAAGCAAGCTCTGTGCCCTGGCCATTTTCCGAAGTAGAGACTGTGCTGCTGGGTGTCCCCTTTGTCTGGCTTGCTTGTATGCTGCCGATGGCACTCCTCGTTCCACTGGGGTTTGACTGGTAAGCCGTGCTGCAATGGTTTTGTGGCTTGTTGTAGGATGCAGACCAGGAAATCCACCTGGAAACCTATCTGGATTCCATGTTGTCCTTGTCTCCAGAATTCTTCCACCGTGGAATGGTTTTGGATAGTGAAAGGATAGTATTGCTGAATCCTGTGACACTGATGTATTGAAATGTATTTGGTGTAGAGCCTCTTAATAGTCTTTGATAAAGCTGGTCAGGGAGCACCAGGCATGTCTGCTTAAATTTACATATTCACAACCTGGACCTTAACTTCGACTTATGCCGATAGACTGGAAGTATTGATGAGGCACAAGAGCCATAAATATCTATGGTTATCAATGTGGTGCCCACTTTTCTGGAGGTACACTTCATTGTAAAGATGTTCTAGCTCAACACCCATTGTCAGATTTCAATGGTTGCAAGCATTTTGGCTTACGAATTTGAAAGCTCGTTTGCAATCGTGACTACTGTTACCGTTGGAGCCTATACAGCATTTAGATTGTGACACATGTATTCCCAAATTCGATGATTTGGACATATTTGTAATGAGTGGCGAACAAAATTCAGAAAGGAAATGAATAAGGCCGAGAATGCTGCTGGTTCTTGAGTGATTGATTCATTATGATGTATGTAAAGCTCGGTTTGGCAACACTGCTTAGGTGTTCATTGATGTCTTGATTGCAGTTGTAAAAAACCAGGGGTACAAGAGCTACCCCTGGGAGCTTACTCCAACACACTCACAACGAAACCTTACAATGTCACAAGCAACACCTGATTACTTTGCATCGATCACTCTCCTGTTTCTTGCAAGTACAGATGGTGCGGTATAGAGCCAGATCCATAAGTGGAGATTCGAGGTCTGGCTGGTCAAGCTTACACAAGATATGTTGCTGAATTTTCAAAAAGGTCAAATGCAAAGCTTGAGTCCTCCAGCAAGTCCCTAGAGAAGTAGTGAGCTGGGAATGTGTAGACAAACTTTGACGAGACTTGGTTCCAAATGGGATCTCACACTCCAAGTCAGAATCCACAGACCTCTACATGAATAACATGTCCCACTTTTTGCTGACTACTGCCCTGAGACTGAAACTGAGCCTTGTATCAGTGATGGAGAATGCTGTTTCTATGATGGCCAAAGGTTGTTCCCACTGCTTCCCCATGTTGATGTCCCACCCGAGTATGGAAGCTCAATTTTCTGTTTAGTTTTCTACAAAAATTATAAATTGAAAAAAATTAGATTCATGGCAAACATATCATACTTTAACAATTGTTTACACTTTATACAAATAAGAAGCTTTTGGTAAAAAATGTTTGCCAGAGATTAATACATGTACTATATGTCATAAGTGAGAACTTAAAATTTAACAAGATTTATTTATGTTTATATAAAGTATAAATGTTTATATGAATAAACATTAATAGTCTTGAAAAATTTAATTAGCTCCAAAAGTCTTTTACAACCCATAAATAATAAAGCTTTCTTGGTGTATATATTTTAGGAGCTTAGTGCAAGGTGTTGATAAAGATATAATATATGTGGTTACAAGGAGCATATACTTTCCTCATGTATAAAAAGAATGCTTTAAATTGCAATTGTATACTCTTTATTTTTTGTTAAATTAGTGTACTCCATAAATATAGTGATGTTTTTTATCTAAAAACTGGTATTTTTAGACTTTATTCAATCTCTACCCAAATTAGTGGAGAAATTAGTCATCATGTATTTACTTATGCTGAATAAATATAAAGTAGAAACTCTTATATGTTACTTGTTGAGCATACTCAGGCTAGCTTGCACTTGTTAGTGTTGGGAACCCTTATGATATTGAGATTTGTCTTTCAATATTCTTTATGTAATAACTTATTATATCTAACAAGACACCTTATCATTTCCCATATGTTAGTTTTGTTTGAAAGTGTCTAAATTAGCAAGTAAGGTATATTTGTAAAATGTGGAAATTGTCTTGAATACAATAGTGTTATTCCCATATTCAAATTTGTAATTTAACATCATTTCATATTTAGTAAGTTTTTGTTCATGGGATTGGGGTGAAAGTTCAAAG